TTTTTAAACAAGTGGTCCTGTTCAGTTTGGACAACCTGTGTTTTACTGAAAAATGTTCTGCTTTTTTGCCTAATGCTCATGACAGTTTGCTTGCTAAAATGGCAAATTTAAAAATGTTAGAACTATGTTTGTTTTTGAAAATGTGTTTGACCATTTAAATACACATTTTGAATGCCTGAATTACTTAAATTTTGGAGAATTTATGTTTATTTTATTGTTTACAGGCATCAAGTCAGTGTCTTAGTTTTTTCAGTTTATATAATTCAGTACAGAAGTTTTTAATTTAATTAGATTTTTTTTTCATTTATTTATTGATTTTTCATTTGCATTTGGATTTGTTGATTCATTGTCAATGTGACAGTTTAAATGAAATGCTCTCTTTTGTCTTAGACAAGAATAACAGCTGAACTGTGGAATGAAAGTAAGATTCAATTGGCTGTTATTTGGTGACTTATTAGCAACGGATGATAACTGAGGTAACAAAGACGATAAAATTAGAAAAGGTTGTGCACTGTGCTGTAATAAAAATCTAAACATAACCAGCATGTTTATTCTGTCATTTGTAAAACAAAACAAACAAACAAAAAAGACTCAAATTGCAGGTCAACAGAGACCAGCATTGATTTTACAGGCTAAAGTCTGTTTGCTGGTCATAGAGGACATTGCATAAGTGATAAAAAGCTGTATGAAGCCATAAGTATGAGTTTGAAAATGAAAAGGCCTGTGCTCTGGAGTAAAAAATAGCTGTGGTTCCACCCAGAGCCATATGCTTCTCTTTTATGCTTCGTCCTACATCTCTCTAGCTGTCTTGTGTGGACTGTCTCCCTAAAGCATCAGAGCAGGGATGTTGTTGAGTCATCCGCAAATCCTCTGGCTCCCACCCCCACTGGGCAGATCCTCATGCTCCATCCACCTTCTCAGACCAGGTCTACACCTACATAGGCTGCTGAGAATCTTGTTTTGTGCTGGAGACAGGGTGTATCTTTGAACTGACCACAGCCTATGACAGTTTGTAAATGTCTGTTGCACTGATTGCTCGGCTTGTGATCCTCGCTTGTTGTCCAGGTTATTTTTGAAATGACAAGTTCATATATTTCCTTGCTGATTTGACTTTGTCATCTATTCTGCTAGTGGCTAATGAGTTGACCTCCCATAGCAACCACATAACCCTTGCACACAGGATGCATATTGTCTTCCATGGCTTCAGATGTGCTGGCTGACAATACAGGGGACTTTTCTCATAGAACGAATCTTGCCGATCTTGTGATGCTACAGCTGTTTGATAAAGTGAAAGAAAAGAAGGTGACAGTCTGAATTTGTTTGATCAGTGCAAGACAAAGTTTGAGGTTGTATGGAGTTGGTATTGTTGTGTTACTGAGGGAGGTGGAGCAGTACGACATGATTTAAAAATCTGAAGGCAGAGCTCAGCCCTAGTGGGCTTCAGTCTAATTTAACCCCTGACTGGAGTAAATAAATTGCTGCTGCACTGTGACATATTGTGACACGATTAGACCTCAATATGAGAATCATTTTCAACTTGTTTTTGAAATGAAAATTCATTGAATATGTTTCTAATCTGGCTGCGCAGTGGCTCAGTTGTTACCACCATTGCCTTGCAGTGAGAAGATCCCTGGTTTGCGTCCCGGTTAGGATGCCTGGGATCTTTCCATGTGGAGTTCTCCCTGTGCAGCGTGGGTTCTCTCCGGGTTCTCCGGCTTCCTCCCACAGTCTAAAAACATGTTGAAGTTAATTGGTGATTCTAAA